AAAAAAAAAAAAAAAAAAAAAAAAAAAAAAAAAAAAAAAAAAAAAAAGCAGGATTAAATGTTTCTTGTTTCCGCAAGTTTTCTAACCTGCCATTCTTATTTTCCCAAGAGCAAGATCAGTGATGTCCATGATAGAGCCATTTAGTTTGTGGGCCATTTTTTTAAAGACATGTAAAAACTGTTTAACATTTACTTCTGTTGAACGGGTAAAATTTTGCAACCATCTTACCGTAAAAGCATCGAGACGTAGACACATAGTGTATAAATATGACCCGTACCGCATGAGACATGATGATACCTACACGCTACAGTATTGTTGTTATTGTTTGTGCTGCACGCCCATGCGAATTCGCTGCAGACCTATATGTACTACACGCCAGTCACGTAACGCTATTGTTACCTCAAGTGACTCATCTCTGTACATTTATATGAGTGATACAACTACACCAGGATGTGGGTTTGTGGTACCGATCCACCTACTATTTGGATTATTATCTTTGGAAAATGTATATAAGGGTATATTTCGCAGTATATCATGCGGATCTTAAAAAAATGTTACGACTACGGATTAAATTATATCGTTTGGAGTGATGCAATTGATCATGACCGAGCTGAATAAGAGTATCTTTGTCGATCAAACAAACCTAATGATCAACAATATTTTATACAAATGACTTGCCATTTCAAATCCTGACGCATCGCCTCGATATATATTCATTATTCCAACGGGGCGTAAAGAAGATCACAATAGCTTCTTTCCTTTTTCCTCTTCACTACGTGCAAGAAAATTGAAATTCATAGGTCCACATGCCTTTTCCATTTCCCTTTAACAAAAAATAATATCCGCGAGCTTTTTCCCTCCTCTGAACTGTTTTTTCATCAAAGCTCTATTTTTCACGCTGCACGTAGTGAAAGAAAAAATATCCACCCCCTCTTTTACTAAAAATTTGACACAAACGTGATTCCAAATCGACAGCAAAGAGTCCTATATAAGTATACACATGTACCTACAAATTACAGGGTCATTGATCCGCTGCAAACTTGATTTACGGACCCAAACGACTATTCCAGATTACGTGTATTGCGTTGACTTTACGCGGCTTCGGTTTAGACTCCCCCCTGTATACTATATATAAGAGGGGTGGGGAACCCGATATCCTTGTCGTCTGGGACGACGATGACGTTGGGCGTGAACATCAGTTCAAAGTTCAAAGTCGTCGATTCAGGAAAGAGAGGGAGAATAATCGGAAAACGGATTACTTGTAGCGAGAAGTTGGGAGAGACGGGGTGCGCGTTCGAGTGGTTTTCATTATTGAAATACGATATTTACCCCCTTACCGCGTTGGAGTATAATAATAATAAAGATTCGTACGCTCTTGGGGGTTAAAAAAAATGTTTTCACAAAGAGGAGGACGATAAGACTTTATCTGGTTATCTGATTGGGTTTGAGCTAGAAGGAGATCAATCGCGAATACGAGGGATATCCGACTGTTGAACCTTTAAATTAATCCCGAGCAAAGTTACCCTATTTTTGACGCTATTGAAGTGTGTATATAGACGTGTAACCGATGTTTCGTCAAAAAAGAACGATGCAATGTTTTCACTGTGTCCATAGGAACGGGTGGATTTTTAAAAAAAATTGCGCTTTGAATTGAGAAAAAAAAACAAACTCGCGCTTGCGTAAACTTTTCTCCTCTCGCACACGGGACGTTTTAATTAAAAAAAAAAAATCAACAATCCATTGATCCGTTAAAATGAAAAAAAGTCCCCCCAGCAAGCACGAGGAAAGAGTCAAGTTTCCGGGAACCCGATCCGAAGTGGCAATCAGACAGAGAGCAAGTTGTACGAGGGGCCCGGGAGTACGCATCGAGAATCCAAGGGGAGGGATCGTAACGAAGGCACCGACTCGATAAATTACCACTTCGAGTGAAAAGGATGAGAAAGTCGTTAGATCGATAGACAGGTGCACAAAAGAGCCTCGCCGCGACGACCATTGATTCGATATTAACGCTGCGAATGCGTCGCTCTGTCCGTGACACCACGATGCAACACCTCACCCTGCACGAGTACTTCATGGGTGTGTATCTATGAACCTCCTCGTGTAAAATCGGGTCATCGGAGATTCTACCTCCGCATAGCTCTGCCAAACCACGAAAATCGCCGGGAGCCTGAATTACAACGAGCAGGTATTATACTTGCACAGCTTGCTTACAAATTGTGCATATTTTGTTGTCGCTCTCCTCGCTGAATTTTCCTTACACGTCGGTTTGTCGGTCGGTTGATGCGAATAACAATAATAATAAGGCTCAGATTGGGGATATTTTTTTTCGCGATGACTGGATAAACAATTTTCACGCTGATGCTTTTACCTGGAAAAAGGAAGAAACGGGCTGCTGCGTTTATATAGGGATTTTCGCTTATCTGTGGGTTCGCACCTTTGGGAATTGCCTGCGTCAGGGCTACCTCGATAAGGTAGGGGCTATTTTTCTGACGTTAGTTTTATCCAACGATTCGGATGCTAGCAGGAGTATTGCGTAAGTAAAAACAGCTCGATATCGTCGGACGGACACTCGCGCCCGTGTACTACTAAATTCCAGATAAAGGAAAAACGGTTTTATTTTTATGTAACCGAGGCCCTTTCGTGTATCACTTTGTTATCGATTCATACCCCCACTATGAGATCAATTACGCAACTCTAAAAAATAAATTCCGCGCTCTGATACCCTAAAGAGGTTTCTCTCGAGACAAGAGCACCAGAAAAATCTCCTGAAAGAAAAAAGTAACATAAACCAAGGACTACGGGCTCCTTACCTTGAGAGTTACCGTTGCTCTGATTCAGCTGGGGCATCCCCGGGTAAAGGGGCGACGGATGGGGCGAGCTTCGATTGCTACCCGGTGGGTTGGCACTGGTAGGTGTCGGCGTTGCCGACGATGGCTGCTGTTGCTGCGACTGCTGCTGGTGCTGCGATTGTTGTTGCGTTTGCTGAAACGATAATTGTTGCTGCGATGTTGGCGTTGCCGCGGGCATACCCCCACCGCCGGATTGCTGATGTTGGTGCTGTTGCTGCAGCTGCTGGGCGAGCTGTTGCTGCAGCTGGTGGTGGTGATGAGCTTGCTGCTGCTGAGGCGTCGGGGGCTTTTGGGAAAGTGGCGTGTCGCCTGATGGACCTGGGGATTTTTAAAACAAAAATCAGCCTTTTTTCCCTTAGGAAACATGTTTTTTAGGTCCTTTGTTTATATGTATGCTCATTTCTGATGGTAAAATAATTTCGTTGTCATGTTTGAAAATAAAAGTTGTTTGAAAAAACGTATGATAAAATTGAATTTGATACAATATTTAGCAGAGTGAGGACTGGAAATGCTTTAAACGCGATATGGAAGTGAACTTGTGGAGAGCTCTGCTTACTACTGATAAAGAAGGTTTCTATTCTATTTGATGCCAGTAAGAATAATAAAATTGATCTATTTTCTTTTTTTCGACTACAAAAGATGAGGCTGGCTCTACAATTATACCTGAATCTATGATTAGAGAAAAAAAAATGCCAAGTATACGTACTGTTTTCGGAAATGGGCGACGAGGGGCTTTCGGGCAGTAATATTCCTTTTTGTACAAGCTCATCTCTGTTTGCGCGAACAGAGATTTTCCTTTCGAGAGCTAAAACGTAAAAAAAAAAATTAAACGTGAGTACCCATAACGTAAACATCAAGAAAATCACGTATTTTCTACTTACACCTTGACGCGGCCTCAAATTTGTCTGATTTCTTTTTCCGTTTCCACTTCCACGGCTTGAAGAGTCTACCGAACGCTGAAAACTTGCTCTTCCTCTCGAGCGGTGGCGTCCGCGTGCCGGAGCCCAGACTGTTTGTTCGCAGTGCTGCTCCATTTTGCTTTTTTGCTGCAAACAGAAAAACAGTCGAATAATTAAAATCATTATTATCCAATACGCTGAATAAACATAATAGAACAATTATATTTGGTTTGTGTTTAATAGTAAAAGGCGATTTCTATCGCACCGACGCATGGTATCAAAATTTCCGAAATAATTGTATCTACCTAGCAGCGATCTACCTTACCACGTCTGTGCGAGTGTTGCATCATTGCTATAAATGTGAGTCATAATAACAACAGCATCGAGTGAAGAATTGTATCTTATTTCTTTGGTGTGTTACAAAATCATGTGCAATATGACATCAGATTCGAATAATATGCTTAAAAATGCATGTTGCGTGTAATCGATTCTGCATGAACTTTTCGTTGGTAATAATTTTGAAGTAAAGCTTATTTTATTTGCCATCTTAACTTATGAGAATTAAAATTATGTGAATAAGAAATAGGGTCCCTGATACCGAGAAAGAGAGTGGGTATTTTTGTCTGAAGATGCAGTGTATATTATCATTTCGAGTGGGCTTTCATACGAGCATGTTTGCATTATGAATTCAAGTGCGCGCGCGAGGGCAAAAGAGCTTATAAACATAATATGGATATTGCGGGCATAATAATATGTGCACATACGAGTACGTGCACACTGTGAGTTAATTAATATTGGGTATTCATTCAAGAAAACAAAAAAAAAAATAATGTATTACAGACACACGAACGATGCAACAACATGTGCTGTCGTCAAAACAAAAAGCATCGCTCAAACTCTTTCGAATGAAATTCCACTCGAGTGAAGTCACTCTGATTATGCACGTTTTGTTTTGTTTCTGCGCAACTCTTTGTTTTGCAAAAGAAAAAAATGTAAGATCCACTTTTAAATCTATTTGCATAAAAGTAAAAACATATGCCTTGGAATTTTTTTTTTTTTTTTTTTTTTTTTAGAACTGCGTTTTGTTATTAAACGGAGACGTAAATGTGTAGGCTGGAGTTTGGCGTTCCAATTTTTCTCTTATCTATACACTGCACTATTATAATGTTACAGTTATCATTATTTTCGCTAAAATTAACACCCGGCAATCAGCTTGAAGCATATACAACCACTTCGAGGCTAATTGTGCGATGAACAAGAGAAACCAAACATGAACCGTTTGTTTCAATAAAAATATTTATTGCTTTAAATCCTCGGAAAATTATTTTTTTCTGAAATAGTAAGAAGATGTACAATAAGTAAGCATATACAAGTGAATATTTCATTATTGTACAAAAAAGAGAAAAGTTATTCTAGAAAAAAAAATCACGTGATTAATGTCAGATAGAAGTGATCCGCAGTTATACTTTACTATTTCAAATAACTTTGATGAAGAGTAATTGGCATACACGGTGTTACAACTAATTGTTTTTACATTTTTCATGACGCTTATTGCTTTGGATGTACTCGAAGAAATGATATTTCAATAATACAGGAAATCACATAAATAGCAACAATGAAACGTTATGTTTGACTCTCTTCGGCGATAATTTTTGTTATCGTCACTCCGTTCCTAAGGCAGTCCACCAGCAAGGCGCATAAAGATATTTTTACAAAAACATTCACCAGCTCAATCCAATCGCGCCATGTATATCGCACGTACGGTATAGCCACGCAATGACAAAAGGTGTCAGGTAAATTTCGCAAACGACTCGATTACCGTTTAATATATCCTCGTTGTCTCGTCTTGCCCTCGTTAACCCCAACGCGCACAACTCACCCGATGCTCATTTTTAATTTTCACATGCGTGGATACATATATATATAGGAACATGAACTCGTGATAGTTGGAAAATTGAAAAATTATATTACACGGGCTCCTCCGTTTACCCGACACCTTCTGATTACCAATGCCAGGCACTCTGCCGGTATATTGTGTTATACGTGCGCGTCGATATACGGCTCTCGTGTAACACTAGAAGGATCGGCTAGCTCGACTTGCCGATTTCACGGCGACGCGACTTCATACCAGAGAAGGCGCGAAAAACCGAACAATATATTTTGGTCCGCAGGCAAGGGCAGTGGTGTATGGGAACAAAAACACCGACAACTTTCGATAAGCGCACTTTTTTTGATAATACAATTATCGCGCTCGAGCGTTTACTCGTGCCAGTGTTTCGTTAAGAGGATTGAGTTTCTCATTTAAATTGTTTTTTTTATTAATCTGTGTACTTATTGTTTTCTTATTTTATTGCAGTTTTTGTGGCTTGGGTCTGAGAATCGTTTGTTTGTTTGTTTTTTTTTGTTTTTTTTTTTTGCTTTGTTATTCATACATTATTCTCACCAAGCTTATACTGTATATCCTAAGGCTATCGATATTTATTCATGAATGAAATATTCAATGCTCGGAATATTTAATAAAAATTTTATACTGAATCAAGATATTCACATATGCAATATTGTATTTTAATATTTAAAAAACACCATCATCAACATTTTTGCAACTAAATCCAATTACATCACAACCCATCTTACGATGTATTTTTTTTTTTCCGTAAAGGTAAATTGTTTTAAAAACATCAATATTATTTTCTGAGAGCACATGCGTATCAAAACAATAGTTTTTTTCTCGCGTCCGCACCCAAGTACCTCATCAAAGTTTCATTAGCTTCCGTTCGCAATCGTTCCACTTATAAACCATCATCACCCAAAGTCACGCAGAAACATCGTCACAGCAACTCCAAGGTTTTATCCTATGGTGAACAACTACTTAAGCCCAGTTAAAAAAAAAAAAAAAAAAAACGCGATGTGCGGCTTTGTCATCGATCATCAAATAGTATTGTATATTGGCTTAACGAAGCACAAAAGACACAACAAGATAAGTACGTACGAGAAAGCAGTACTATCTCATGCACAGTAATTATTATTCACGAAGCTATAATCAATACCGTCAAAGTAAACCCTCTATCGCTCTATACCCTCTTCGCCGCGTTTCAATAACTAATGATGAATCGCCGCTTCGATCGTTTTGTAATGGTATTTTCTTTAAAAATAATATCGTGGAAATAGTTTTTATTTTTTTTTTCCTCCCACTGAATTATTGTTTCGAATATAGTTTCTCTCCAATGAGGGCTCCCAGCCATGATGCATATGTACTTCCTTGATCGGAAAATGTTTAGAGTAAAACGTTTTAAAACAGGGACACACTCCAGCGAATGGGTTCGCATTTCTATCAGATTTACAGCTGTATATTGACGATTAAAGAAAAAAAAAATGTTTAATATTCATCTTGTAAAAGAGTACATGCATCTCCAAACCAATACATTTGCTTGGATTGATTGGGCGTTCGAGAGTGATACGCAAATTGCCGGTGGTTGGTTAGTCCTGTATGGTGCGTCTAAGGCAATGCAACTCCAATTTTATATAAAACGTATAATACTTGTATCTCAAATTCATACAGGTTTGACGATCAAAAAAAAAAAAAAAAAGATCTTCATGACACAACGTTGGCTCCGAAAACGTTGATTTTGATACTGTATTTAACGTAGGTGCCAATCCTCGTTCTCCTAACGAAAGGTAACTATTGTTGTATTGTAAGATGTATTGCAAGACTAATTTTTCCTACCGGGATATTTTATGCATACGATGACTATACTGATGCAAGTGCATAAGCGCAAAAGACGGCATTGTTGCTTGCACACCACTGCTCTTTGATAAACGTCCTATGCGGGGTGTAGGTGCTGCGGTATCGATTCGTAAAGTTGGCTTAGCCGGTGATGACAACCAAGCTTGTTTTACGTATAGTCAGCTAGCCAGCTCATCTGCGTACAATGGTCTACAGCAAATGGAGCATAATACGCCTTGTTGCTCTCCCAATCGTGAGACTCTTTTGCGAAACAATTATGGCCAAAAATGGCACTAACGCTTTTTTTGCCCGATAAGATAATACGGCTAGCCAAAGACAATTAAGTGACAATGATCGATGCATAAGAACATTTAAATGATGGTGGCTATGTACAATACGATGATGCAAAATGACGGTGTTTTATAGTACTTTGTCCAAGCAAATGCTCTCCGCACGTTACATTGAAGTTCATACACGTAAATGCAAATGTTTTGATAGCGTTTTCGTGATTCCCCACCAAGGTAGCGATGATTTTCTTTTAAAGCGTAAAACGCCTATTTCTAATGTCCATCGTAAAAGATCCATATCTTGTTTGCCTTTGAGGTTTTGATAATTTTTGTTTACTTAGCAATTACACTCTGATGCGCGTGAAACACATAAAATCGTGATCTTAAATGATGGCAGATTGAATAAAATTATTTAAATGTAGGTATATATATATCTGATGAGAGGTAAAATTCCATCTCGGTACAAGTACAAACTCTTTTGATGGAAAAACCTGGATTTTGCTCCAAGCAGTCCTCGATTCTTGTTATTTCCGAAAACACCGCTCGTGAGCTCATCGCGTATCCCACACCCCGAGCGATAAAATCACACGGACTTTTAAAACAATTTGGATATGTCCATATCCCAAGTGTGTACGAAATACACCCACTCGCAAAAGCACAACAGACATCCTCTGTCTTGAAAGCTCCGGTAAAAATTCATCGCTCACGTGTTTGCACGACATACATATATGTGTAGCAGATAAAAAAAAAAGGCATTGCAGCTGTATCACATGCAGCGGCGCATGGATTTAAAATTAAAACCGTCTCTCCCTCCTACTTTGGGGTATTTGATTCGAAACATCATCGTCGTATCTACTGCAAGCGTTTAAAAGCTACGAGAAATTCTACAAAAAAAAATTTAACGTTTAGGAGTTCCCCCGAAATGGGAATTAATGCACAAAGATTGCTGTGATACATCTGCCTTTAGAAAAATTATGGACAAATTTTATAAACGCAAACAATGAGCGTGTGACACATTTTTTCCCATTTTCGAGATAGGACAATTTTTTTTCATCCTTTGTACATAAATTATTACAAAGAATTTTTTTTTAATCCAAAAGTTTTTAAAGCAAACGGGCAGCTAAATTTATGCAAAATATAATGATTTTTCTAGTAAGACATGACCAAACTTATTAGCCATAAAAGAGAAAAAAAATACTTGAAAAAAAAACGGCCTCTTTTTTAGTCATATTGAACATTCGTGCCAAACATGTATAATACATGTATAATGTGTACGAAATTCATTCTTCGAGGCCTTGATTGAAATTATTTGGTTTACCGTATGGGCTGAGCTATGACA